GAACAAAATAACAAATGGTTTGGCTAGAATTAATCGAAAGTTTGTTGCAGTAATGAACATAATCATACAGTAGTAGTGAGAATCAAGTAAGAAATAATGCAAGTAATTGAGAAACGCATGCATGCACACAAATTATTCCATTACCTGATATTATTTAGCAGAATTCGCAGTTACATGGAAAGGTATTTTATGATTGGTACCAATCGAAGTGTAAGATTAGATTTATATTTTTCAATTAAATCGGACATTTTGACTAATATCGCTTCAAAATTTCGAGGCAAAAGAAAAAGGAGAAGGATTAAAGTGAACTTATATAAGTACCAACAGAAAAAAAAGTTTAGCTTAGTGGGACAAAAGGAAAAAGCCTGAAAATTTGTAGGGAAAGGCAGAAAAAAAAATAAAATGCCTGTGGTAAGTTAATTTTTAAAAATTTAAAAAAGAAAATTTGGGAAAAATAATGGTAAATAATAAGAAAGAAATTTTGTCAACGAGTAAATGAGAGTTTTCAGCAAATTTATCAATTAGGACTTTTTTGTGACAAAAAATATTCTTATGAAATGAGGATCTTGGACCTGTCATTCATGTACTTTTTGTTTACTTGTGTTTGAGAAAATATAGCCAAGAGATTATTAACTATTTAAAAAAAAATGTAAAAAACTATTGTGCCTTAAAAACAATTTTTGTTTACCTTTTTCTAAAATGAAAATTTTTTGTTTTCTTTTGTTTAATTTTGTTTTCCATTATTTTTCGATAAGTAATTTCCGATTTCCTTCATTTCTCAGTTATCATATATTTATTATTTCTCATTTTAAATTGCATTATTCAAAGTTGTAAATTAAATTTTGTTCAGCAAAATATGTGTTCCATATTGACTGCTAGCTAAATGAAAATAAAATTTAGTTGAATAGTAAAATTTTCTTTGCATATTTGATAAATTTTACTAGAAAACGAAAATTTGCTTTAATCAATAAAAATGTTCGTTAACTTGAAAAGACGAGAAATAAACAAATAAATTGCTTAATAAATGATAGCAGACCATTTGGATAAACTAATCACCATACATCACAATTCTCGTGAAGAGTGCTTTTTTTTTCAAAGTGAATGATAATCTGATAAGCTCAATCAGCAGCTATCAGTTATCTTGCTCCTCTTGCTTTGCTGCTATCTTGTTAAATAAATTAAAAATCTATTTATACTAATTAACTGTTTTTATTGGCAACCAATTCTCGGTAAATTTCATAAGTTAAAGGCAACAATTAGTTACATTTTACTTATTTTTTGCTTAACTCACTTATAAAATTTAAGTAATCATGAGTAACGAATAATTTATAATTGAATACTCGTAATATTAAACTAATCAGTATGTGCTTTTGATATTCCAGTTGGATATATTTAGAGCCTTAATTACTATTACTACTTCAAATTACACCAAACTTTACAACCTATTATTGCAATTTAATCAATACACATTCCTCTCTGTTCATAAATTGCAATATTGACAAAGAAAAAAAAAAAACAAACCACTAATAATAATAGCAACGAAATTTTGAAACAATTTGAGAAATTTGAATTTGCTAATTATCCCTTTAAATTCCTTTTTGTTTGATTATTTTTTTCATTGAATGATACATGCAATTAGCAGAATGATACTATTGATAATGATATTACTGATATTTAAATTTCACTAATTTTACACTTAAAGGAGTAAGAAATAAGTCTTGGTCAGAAATAGGTGAAATGCGTAATATACGTGAAATGTAGTTGAATTCGAATTTGTTTTCAGAGTTGAAAATCGAAGCTCAAAACAACTGTCACGTACGCACTACGTAAATTCACTTCATTTTTGCACTTTTGCTTTTTTTCCTAATAAGATGTGTGGGAACCCAAACTGCTGACCAATACTGACCAATCACTAATGTTACCAAAGTTGCTCGATGACCGTTTGATCTTTGGCCTTTAGATGACGATCGATCCATCCATGCCTATGCATATTTTTCCATCAAAGCTAAGATGTTATTACGTGAAATATTTCACGTGATCGATTCATCAATTTATTGTCTTATTTTTGATTCAGACTGTTTACCTTCAACCAAAGCGCAATTAGCAGCACCCATTTGACTTACTTGAAACTTTCAGAAGTATTGTCAAATTTCAAAAAGACTTTTTAAAACTTGTAATTAAAAAAAATTAAATCTTAAAATTTGTTATGACAAAAAAGAAATGAAAACTGATAGAATGAGTAAATCACTAAAATATCATTATTTCATGATTGAATTGATGTGTAAGGATCGCTTATTTGCTCAAAATGTGACTGACAACTTTACTACAGAAATTAATTATTGTTTTGTTTGGAATAAATTCACATCTGTTGTCAACATTTGTCACCATCTTCATTTTTTAACTCTTTACACATGGTGGAACGAAAAGAAAAAAAAAACATGTGCCACACGATTTTCAAGGATTCTGGATGCTCGGAAACTGAAAAATTTTCCGAATCCCAAAAAGCAATAAAGAACTTTCCGATTCTTTCAAAACAAAAAAAAAGAACTGCATGTATCTTAATTGTAGATTTTAGCAAAATAAATTATTAAGAATTCGAAAATTGAATTCAGTTATAACATTTAGATTAATTATTGATCGTTGATATAATGAATAATTATAGCGAAATACTTATCATTGGGATAAATGCACAAAGGTATTCTTAGGTAATTTTTAAAGAAAAATTGATTGAAAGCTGATAATGGTCGCAAAATTATAAAGTAAGGTTTGAAGTATTTGTATTTATTAGTAAGATCGAAGATTAATAATTGCTAACTTGTCAACTTTTCTATCTGTTGTATGGATATATAGGATACATATGTATATATCGATTACTTGGCTTATTTATTTGATAAGTGAAGCCAAAGTAAGGAATAATTTGATATTAAAATGAGATAAAATACTTTAATGACGATAAATCCACAACGAGTGAATAATCAATTAAGTAAAGGAAATTTATGACGATTAAAAAAGTGTCTGGCATATTACTTTTGAAATGATGTCAAACAAATGCGTGTTTGTCAAGCTGAAATTAAAGTTCCAATTACCATATAGTCTAATTGTACCATAATTATCATACTGTGTATCATTTTCTTGTAAATAATCAAAGTTTATTCGTAAAAGAATATCATGTTCTTTTTTTTTTATAAATAACGAATTAGACAGTAAGTTTGAACAATAAGAAAAACTTAATTAACTCATTAATTCGTTATTAAGTAAAAACAACTTAATGACTAGATTATCCAAAATAAATTTTAATACAAAAAGGTTAATTATCATTTGTGGCAGTAGTAATAACATTGTATTATTAAGAGTAAATGCTACAATTTAGAGACTTAAAGCAACAATATCTATGTTATTCGTTGATTAATTAATAGCAATTTAGCTGCCTTTTCCCTAAAAAGATGCATTTTTGGTTCAATTCCATTTCAGTTCACTAAGTATAATCAATAATTGACAATATTATTGTTTTTAATTGATTTCTTCTTCCCTTTATCTCACAAAAAATTGGGATATAAGATGGTAACTTTGATTACTGTTAATAAAATAGCAATCAAATGGATATCTTTTAATCCTCAGCAGGTTGCATAACTCTTTTAATTATCACTTATCAAAAGTGTACTTGAATGATTGAGGATTGATTGATTAATTAATTTATGGGTATCTTCTTGATACGAGTAATCAATCATATTTCGAACACATAGCAAATATTTATTTGTTGGTTTGTTAGAATTGAATGACAAAAAAAATTTATGTTTGGGAAATCAATTGAGTGGAAGGAAAAATGAGATGAAAATTGATGAATTAGACGAGAGAAGGGAAGGGAGGAATTTATTGACAAAACCATTATTGATATAATCTTGACGGACTTCAGAATCCATCAGCAATTGCTGTTCCACTTGATAGCCAAAATGAGACGGTGAATTTCAGCGGATGTTGTCGAAATATCCGGAAATACAATTTTATTTAACAGCCCGAAAGGAAAATAAAAAAAGAAAAGACTGCTAATATGCTTTGAATATATATATATCAAAAGTAAAAGGCTGGTTTCCTGATAATGAAATTGATTTCTTTTTTTTGCCAATTTGATTATTAATTTTGCTTTCCAAGTATTTTGCTTCAAATGCATTTATGAAATCTCTAATGATTTATTCAATAAAAAATTCAAATTACTAAATTACTAAAATAAGTACTAAAATAAGTACTGTAATCTCAGCGTAAATTGTAAAAAATCTCTGCAAATGCTTTACTGAAATTAGGAAATTATTGAATTATTAAATTAATTTTATGAAATATTGAAAGTTTAATTCGATGATGGAACGAAA